TCATTCTTCCAGCAGAAACACGAGGGCATGTATTCATGTTAAATAAAGAACAAAACACTTTCAAAGTATGTGTATCTGTGATTTTTGTGCACATAAAGCGTTTGTATAGAATGATTTGGCCATTTAATCAACTTTAAAATTAAATTCCAGGCTCCCAAGAAGTCCTTGTGAGGATGAGGGTGCAGAATCACGAGAGGTTTTGATTTCTCAAAGACTGCCCTTTCCAGTGACTACCTCATTCTTCAGCACTGGCATAATTTCTCGTTAACTTAACCTAAACTGGAAACCACACCCCTAGCCTCAAGAGATCCTGAGCTGAAGTTTCATCTGTTTCTGTAGGGAAGACACCATCTAGGACAGAGCCCATAGTAGCAGCCTTGGTGAGAGGGATCAGGCTGCAGCAGTCCCTGCACACAGGTCCTTGGCCCCAGCCTGAAGATCTGATGAGGACTGCCGCAGGAATTGCCATCTAGAGATCCTCCTAACTCCTCTCATGGCAAAGTTTGACACCTGGCATCCCAAATTCTCAGACATCCACCCTTCCCAAACTACTTCAGCATGCAATGCCACAGTAATCCAATTTTCTTTTCCTAGCAGTGCTGCCTCTGAAGCTCTGCCAACAAAGTCGTAACTCACTGCAAGTCTCTTCTGCTTCGAAGACCTCAAAGCCAGATGCCTCTGGGCCCACCCAGACCCTGCTCACAATCCTCAGCCTCTGCAAGAGCAGCATTCACAGCACCACAGGTTGGAGGTTCCTTGTTGCTCATGCAAGGACAATAACAGCCCTATACCCAAAGCTATTTCCTGAGTATGTCTGAGTTTGACCCTAGAGGTTGTGGGATAGCTCAAAAACCTGCTTCTGTATACACTTCAGGAGACATCAGTGTGAAAACAAACAGACTTTAGGAGAAGTCTAAAACTGAATGTCATTTGGGAATGAGATGCTCTTCAAGTAAATTTCCCTGATGGACTATATCTAGTTGGCATGGCCTCAGCAAGTGCCATCTCAAGAGACTTGGGGCTCCTATCAAAAGTGGTGATGGTGGTTTTCTTTTTAAAGACAGGGGCTGAGCTGAGTGGTTGCTCAGCACCCATCAACAGCTTGAGAAGTCATGCAGGAGGCTGGAATCTGAAATCATAGAATCATAGAATGCCAGGTTGGAAGGGACCTCAAGGACCACCTGGTCCAACCTTTCTACACAATACTATAGTTTTATAGGAGATGGCTCAGCACCCTGTCGAGCTGAGTCTTAAAACTGTCCAATGTGGGGGAATCTACCACTTCCCTTGGGAGATTATTCCAATGTTTGACTGTCCTCATGGTGAAAAATTTAGCTCAGGTGTCCAACTGGAATCTCCCCAGGACCAACTTATGCCCATTATCCCTCATCTTTTCCATGTGACTCCTTGTAAAAAGGGAGTAGATGCCAAAAAGTGCATCCTTAGTCTGTCAGAACCAAATGTAGATCAACCCAAATTCTGTATCCACTTCAAAATTATCTTTTTCTGAAGTGCCCCTACATCCCTGTATTAACATGGTGCTGTTTTCTCTAGGCACAGATCCACTGGGTCCACAGAAGCCAGTTTTGCTTTGCCTGGCTGGCATGTTGCTCATTGGCAAAAACTCCCCCAAACCTGCTTGTGTCTTTGTTTGTTAGGGCAGGGTTTTATGCCCAGGATTTAAATTCCTGCAGTTAAATTGGACTAAGTGCAAAATGAAGCTGTGACTTTTTCATCTTTCAGAGTAAAAGTGTTGGGTATTGCAGAACAGTGGGCTTTATTCTTGTTCTGTACTATCCTTCAATATCACAGTCTCTTTATTTATCACCACGTAGGATTTGGGGCAGTTTTAACAAGCTTTACAAAGTTTTTAAGGAGAGATGCCTTCCACCTGTGCTGCCAGGGACCATCTCTTGCTTAAATCCATCCAGGTGCTTTTATTATTCTAAATTTGCAGCAGCCCCGCGGTCTTCAGAAGTGACACTGATCCGCGCAGGAGGCATTTTCATAGGCTGACTGAGGAGTTTGAGAATACCGCGAGTGAAACAAGCCGAAGGGCAGGACGCAGCAGAGTTTTCTCGGCATCCCCCACCCGGTTCTCCCACCTCTGCCGTGTCTTTTCCTGCCACCTGGTGGCGGGAAATGCCCCCGCTCCTCCTGTGTTTTGTCATCTTCGCCGTTTTGCTCCCCTGCCTCTCCTCCCTCTCCCCCCTGTGCAGTCAGATCAGCTGCTAAACTTCTCAGAACACGGGCATCCTCAGTGGTTCTGAACCAGCTCCTGGTAGAGCAGGATGATTGCAGGAGTCGCTGCTTTCTCCTTGATGATTTTGTCCATCTTTCACTGTCTAAGGTGCGATTCAATTGTTCAGTTAGCAATATTCTAACCTGTGCGAGATGTTCAGTGATATTATGCCAAAGCACTGTATCAAGGTGTGAATGGAAAATGTAAAAGCAATTTGTAGAGGATCAGTATTTATAGCTGGCTTGCAAATACTTCCAGCAATTTAATTCCAGGAATTAAAAAAAACAACAACACAGCAACTTTGTACAGACTTTTGCCTAAAATTGTAAAGGAATCTTTGAAAGGATTTTGAGGCTTGTGGGCCCATTTTCAAGAACAGCAAATGGCAGCAAACAGATCAATGTAAGTCACAGAATCTGACTTTGGACAGTTCTAAGTGCCCTGGTCAAGTGTCATTAGGTTAAGCTAATGAGGAGTAGGAAAAACATGGAAGTTGTACAGTATATTTGTAATATTAGTAAGCACACAGACATACACATTCCTGTATGAACGTGGCCAGACATGAGTGCAGATTTGATTGCCTGAACAGGCATTCATAATTCATCAGTCTTGCTTTTTTTAAATTATTATTTTTAAAAGATTTTTGTTTATTTTAAATAAGAACTGAAGTGAGAATGAACAACTGTTAATTCAATTGATTTCAGGGTATCTTCTCTGTAACAGAATAAGATACACAAAAGGCCATCACAGCAGCCTGGTAGCCCATAAAGCAGCATCCAAAACTAAATGCTGTCAGAGTTAGAGGTGAACCATATCTCTTTAATCCTCTAAGCTAAGGGACTTAAAACACCTGATTCCAGCCTGAAAACAAATTCCTTGTGCATGACTTCTGGTCACAGGCACAGCAACACAGGCAAAAGCTGCCCAGATGTCTATATAACATTCCCTGATAGATTTTTTTTACATGGATATTTTAACTTCTATTACCTCAATCCCTGTTTTAAATGAGATCTCTATCCTACCTCCCAGGGCTGAAGAGATGAGGAAGTCTAGGAAGGATTTCTCATCAAATCATACAGCATTACTGGCTTTCTACCCATAAAATGTCCATTGCACATAGTAGACAAGTTAGTGGGTTTGCTAAAGTATTAACCTCCAACAGCTTACGATATTAAAAATAGACATATGACCTGAATATAAAAGGAAAAAAGAAATATAAAATGCTAAATAAACATAGCAACTGGTATGGGCAAAATAGTGGACAGAAGGTGCTACCTTGTACAGGTACAGTTAAGAGACAATTCTGCTTAATGCGCATGGCAAAAGCTGGTGAGTCCACCCCAAGTAAAGTTAGTTACATCCTCAGAGGATGACATGGAACCAGGTCCTTCTAGGGCTGTTCAAGGAAACCCCCAGTCCCATGGGCTAGGGGGATCCCCAGCATCTTGAATCCATGGGAAAAGCTCTCACTGGGTGCCCTTGGGAGGCCAGTTTGGGTACAGGACTAACTAGGATGCAGGGGAAAAGCACCTTGGACTTGTGCCATCAAACTCCATTTCTAACTGTTTGGGTTAGGTGAGTGGCTCTATTCTCTGATACATGGAGGTTTAAGGGCCAGCAGCTAGGACTAGGAACCAGGGGTGCCAGGACCCATGCACCTGCATTGCACATTGATTGAATATCTATGCCTGTATGGTCATTTGCTGTAAATCAGGGTAAGAGCAGTGGAAACCAGGTACCAAAGCATCTTCAAGTCTGGCCAAGGACTAGGAAGTACAAGCCAGCTCCTGCAGCAAGTGTAGGATGTGGATCCAAATACAGGAATTCAGGCAACTGGCTCTCTGTAACATGGCCCACAGGGTTAGAGAATCCTGTGAAGAACCAAACTTTAGGGTTTCCTACTATAGATGTGATGGTTGTTACAGGTATATTAAGACAGAGAAGACTGACACTGGTCTACTTAGTTTCAAGCACTGGATCACACATGAAGCAGCAGCAGAGAGGTGGTACCAAGTTTTGTTAACATGCAACTAAGTCATACACTTACCTTGCTCCCATTAGTTTGTTACAACACAAGTTTTATTGCTGTTGCTTATTTCAAATGTCATTCACCCTTGTCTGTTTACCTGAGTGGGCATCTCATTCATATCCTTAATTTAAAACATAACAGAAGTTAAATGGGTAGTTAACAGGCACACAAAACATTCTATTATGGCAGAAGTCCAGGTTACTGTCATGTGGAGCAAAGACAGCACTTTAAGCTGAACAATGCCAGAGTTTTGCTCCCATGATCCTTAAGGAAATACAAAAGGAATTTAAGGCACATGTGACCTGCTCCTTTCAAGTAACAGTGAGGCTAGAGGGGTCATGCAGACAGCTCGGTTTCAATTACTATTTCTTGGCAATACTCGTTTCTTTCATGATATAAAATTGAAATGCAGTATAAAAATACATCTTTCCACAGGGTCTAATAGTGCCAAGTGCAATTTCAATATTTCAAAGCTTTCATAGGTAAGCTTGAGGTACATTAACAGTGCAAATTCTGCTGGAGTTTCTTCAAGATACCATGTTCAGTACAAGAAAAACTGATCTTTTCCTCTTGCTTCCCAAGAGAGGCTGCATTTTAAGTTAAACCAGTTTTTCTTAACCTCTCCCATTCGGCATTTCATCCAGACATGTTACTGATGTCCTGATTCTTCTTACTGCAGGGGTAGTTAATGTGATACCATAATTTACAAACACTCCTTGATTACACATTTTACAAGTGAGAGTCAGCTTCAACTTGCTTTTCATTGAAGTCTTCATTCTTTTTTGCTTGCTTCTTTTCTTCCTCATCAAGTTGGGCTTCAATCTCATTTGGATCAACATAGGTATAAAAATAAGCCATGATAGCAAAAATGATGCAAACTGCCAACAGCAAGGCAGCAAACAGAACATATTCTGCCCACTGTAAATAAATAAGAAGTATAATTTATCCATCAATAGTTATTCCTCAAAAGAATTACACCTTCTTACTGTTTGTAAGGGATTAAGTTAATTCAGAATGTGAAACTAAGCACATATAACAAGTACCATATGTCTTCAAGGATGAAGTATTAGATGTTTATGATAAATATTAAAGCAACTCAGAATTTACTCCCTTCCAACAGTTCTGACTTCAACGAAGAGACAAAAGTTCTATGAATGCTAGAAAGTTCTACAATATCCTCTTTCTGGAGGCATGAAAATGAAGTGAAAGCCTGAGAAGGAAACTCAGCATCTCCTTTTGGTCAGGTAATTTCATTTTTAACCAGGCTGGTAGTGAACCAGTTTTCACTTATGTCAGCAGTAAAGTTTCTACTGACCAGAAACAAGGGCAGAGATCAAGCCCAGAAACTTTGGTTTCAAAGTGCTATGTCCACTTGAAAAGCCTGTTTCATGCTTTTTCTGGTTAATTTAGCTGAAACTGAGTCTGCCAGACCCATTTCCAAGACAGGTTTCCCCTCTCTGTTATCCTTTTTGATTCATTAGGGAGTGCCACAAACGGTCTGAGAAAATGCCAAGTGCTTTTTACCAGGAGAACCACAGCTCTCATGCTCCAAGAAGTGAGATTTGAAACAAATGGAGCCAGAAGAAGTGTTGTGGCAAGACTGAGGTATGCAGATGAAGGTTCATTAGCAGTGAACAGAATTTTTGTAGCTTTTAATCCCATTACTCTAGAATTTCAGCTCAGGAGTTCAACAGCATTTCCACACCATGAGAAGCAATTTATTATAGAGATGCTAGAAACTGCTGCTTGCAAGAGAAGGAGCCTGACAGAGCCAGAGATAGGAATGGCAAAATACAGGTAAGAGGTAGAAACCTTTGTTGAAGGAGTATTTGTTAGAATCCTAGAATGGTTTGGCTTGGAAAGGACCTTAAAAATAATCTAGTTCCAACTCCCTTGCCATAGAACCTTCCACTAGACCAGGCTGCTCAAGGGCTCAGAGTTGTTTAATTTTGGGGGGAAAAAAAGACCAAGAGGAACTTTAGAAGTGTCTAGAAGACAAGTTTTAATCCAGTTAGCTTAAAAAGATTCATAACTCTGTTACTTGTGTACTCTAAAGAGATTCAGTCAAGCACTAGTTCTACAACTGACTGCTATACTCTTGTAGGCAACAGTAACCTCCTACATTCCAATTATAAATGCAAATCCACCATAAAGCTGGTGTTCAAAAGTTGTGGTTGAGGATTATCTACCCTCACTCCCCCCTGTATTCAAGCTGCTTTCTCTTCCTGTACCACAAAGGCACCTGACTGCTGATGTGCTTACCTGCTCACTGATTTCTGATGCTTCAGCCACAATGAGGACAATTATGTTACCAACAGCCACGGTCAGCAGCCATCCTGCCTGCAGCACTGCCTTCATGTTAGACGGGGCCTAGAGAAGTAAAGGCACTTCAGCTTTAGTCAGACACTGCTACCACTTATTTTCTGATGCTTACCACATTCTTTACATTATAACAAACACTAGTTGTCTGGGGACTTCTTGGTTTGGTTGGCGTTTGTGTTGTGGTTTTTGTTTTAATTTAAAATGTATATAGAGAACTAAACAGACCTGAGAAGGCTTTGAGGGGCAAGAGGTTGATAATACTGACTGTAACACCTTTTACTTTGTACACATTGAGTAACTAACAGGCACATTTTGCATCTGACTCAGTTGCACGTGGCACACATTAAATTAAGAAACCGAGTGCATCAGAGCCCAGCAAGGCACATCTTAGGGTGTTCCCATTGCTGCAGATTATGGACTCAGAATTAAGGGAATAAATACACACAGCTGATAATACAAACGAGAGCTGGAAGACAAAGGAATTAAAAGTATATAATCAAACTGCCACTAAATATTCTATGGAAGGAATTGGTGTGGGGATAACGTGTCAGTACTTGTTCAGTTTGAGTGCTCTCCTGTTTGGTTTTGCAGCAGCAGTGCAGTTCCACTTATTTTCAATGGAAAGTCACACATGGGAAGGAGATATAAATATTGATGGTTGAGTCTGCAAATTATGTAATTCAGAAGAGCTTAATGGGAAACAGTGAGTGCAAGTGAAACAAAGCCAGCTTGCACCAGCCTGTAGTCCTGCTAGTGAGCTCTGAAGGACATAACTGTCCAAAGCAGTAGTATGAAAGCACCAGTTTTGTTTGTAAAAACAATAGATCACAGAAGATCTTAATTTGTACCAGGATTCCTAACACAAGGAGAGCTCTGAAGGTAAAAACCTACCTGTGAATATGAAAACTCAAGCCCAGTGACAGAGAAGACTACTTCTGCACACGTAAGAATAAAATACTGAGGAATCTGCCAAGCCATATGGACTGTATTGGGTGGGATATCTTGAGAATATTCTACAGTAAGAGTTTCTGCAGTACACTGGAAATTAAAATGGCACATTAGGAACAGTGATAAAGAAAGAGTCTTGTACACTAAGCACTCTAAGCAGTTCTGTATCATCTCCACAGTTATATATGTACACACAGTTCTGGGTAAATAAGAAATACTGTATATGAAGCACTGCATACCTAGTTATAAAGCAGTAGTTATTTTATAGCAGATGCCATGCAAATTCTCAGTGTCTAACAGGCTAAAGTTTTAAGGCCATTAATGATGAACATAAAATTCTTGCATTATGCCATAATCATACATACCCATCATTATTTTTATAGTTAACCATGTTTTTATGTTCTGTTTAACATACCAGAGTTTTATCATATATATGACTAAGGACAAGAGTGATAATTCTACAAGAGGGTTTTTTTTAATTAAAAGAAAATGTTGCCATGAAAATAAATTCTGTTTTGTCTGTTCAAAAGCACTGGCAACTTACCTCATTAATTACAATAGTATAGGCACTGCCAAATCCAAATGCCTGTGCAGGAGCTGAACAAGTAACTGAATTTCTAGTGGCTGTAATTGTATCTTTTCTGAAAAAGAAAAAACACAGCTCAGACCACAGGTATAGACAATCATGTGTATCATAAAAATGAGAGAGATCTATGCCCTTTTCCCAGGGTCAAGCATGTTTTTAAGTGGCTTGATTAGGGTAAGGGAAAATGCTTACCTTCCTCCTGCAAAGGTGGTATAATTAGTGTTAGAAAGAGACATCAGTTCTCCAAAAGAAGTGTCACCCATAGTGACGTTGATAGGATCAGGCAAATTGTTTATGAACCTTAAAAATGCAACAATGTTGAAACACTAAATAATGTGTAAGTCAAAGAAGGCAGGCTTTACTTTTAATTAGATCCTGGCAGCACAGTAACCCCTTCCATTTCTGCCCATCAACATTTTTGAAAGAACTCTAAGTCTCTGGAAGCGTGGCTCATGCGAAAAGCAATCTAGACCCACACCAGCCCCCTGTTTGCTTAGGAGGATGGCAAAAGCAAGCCTCTGCTACAACCAGTAACAAATGCATCTGCAAATAGAAGATGGAGAAGAAAAGCAGGGGAGTGGTATGATACTTGTGACCCAAGATGAAAAAGGAGGTATAGACACGCAACCTGTGCCACTTGTCTCCAAATGTCTAGACAGTGAAGCAAAGTATACACTTCCAATTTCAACTAAGTTATACCCAAAGTAGATATGCAAGACAACTTGAATGGATCATGCCCCAGAAGTCCCTACAACCCTCAACCATTGAGTGAAGTGCCCAGCAAGTGCCAAGCTCCCACAGCATAGAAAATTATGGTAAGCAATGAGAACCCACCCAAGAGGCAGATTGAAGAGACAGCCAAAATTTAGGAGCAAACAAACTCTACCTGATGAGATTCTTTCCTTGTTCTGGTTTTGAGGTGACATTGTCAAACAGCTGATGGAAGAAACAATTATTAAGATACTTTGCTGGCAACAGTGAACAACTTAAATGTGCGCTATTACATAGCAGTGAGAATTCACAGAGATTTCAGAGCAAGGCTCCAGATTTCCCTGTCAGGATCCTACTAGAAAACACTGTATGACCACACATTTAAGTCTTGGTGAAAGGGTAACCATCAAATTAAACACTAAATTGATAACTTTTTTACTTTGGGGTTTTTTTTTAAACAACATCTTGTCCTGCTCTCTACAGCTCAACAGTCTCACTAGTGCAGCAGAGAGGAGACAGAAAATACCACAAAGGGAAAAGCTTCCCAGACAGAGTTTGTCCTCTCAGCTTCACACACCATGTAGATGCTGCTAAGACATGAATGTACATCTTGGGAATTAAGCAGACTTACCCATTCAGCAACAAGGTCAGTCTCAGTTTTTTTAACTTCAAGAGTGTGACGGTTTCCCTTTGCAAAGCTAAAAACTGCTTCTGTTGTTTGACCTCCAGAAGTTACGTTTACTGATTTCAGCTGAGAGTACTCAAATGTCATGTAGTCAGTCTACAAAGACAAACAAATTGCCATGAACTTCCATGCAACTGCATGTTTGTCTACACCTTTGAGGGAGTGTTAAGGACTTTGGGGCGAAGGGGGATGTGTCAGAAGTTTACACGTGTGCTACTTCTGAAGTGCCAGAGTTCATGAGCATCTCCTAACTTTCAATTCTGTTTGGTTTTCCACATCAAGCACTAATTTCATTTTATCACTGTTTTTTATCCATTTCTTTTGTTACACAAGCTTCAAAGCAACAGGACCTTCCCACAAGCATTATGGAATAGCTGTTAAATTTTCCTGTGTATTTCTTGCTCCAGATAAACCAGGCTTACCACCTCCACTACCAAGTAAAATAATGTTAAGATACCGAGGCAGCACCAGCATAAATTAAGATACAGCCTATTCCAAATAGTAACATCTCTTAAGAAATGCAAATGCAAGCTGCATATTTCTGCTTTTAGCATAAAAGAAGTTACTATTAGCAGGATATGTTTTAAATATTCTAAATACATTTCTCATCAACAGAAAAATAGTTAAGCATCAATAAACACATTAATGTAGAACTAACAAAACCCTTGTTTTATATGACTATGTTTTTTATAATCCAAAACATCTGGATTATAAAATGTCTATAGTAAGGAGTGGAGCATTTTACACTGTTCATTTTCAGGTATGCACCATGCTTATACCAATTCCACGTCAGCATACAATTTGAGTGCCCATATCTTCTCCTCACAGCTCAGGTTCCGTGTGAGGCAAATGGAGGGGGATGGAATAGTTTCTCCTCTTACATGGAAGCAGGAGTGCAGGCTATTAAAGAACACACTTCCTAACTTAATTAAAATTATTTAAAATGTCCATCAGCTCCACCACATTTAGCTGTCAATAGGGCTATCAAGGTTGTACAGTAACAGAAAAAGTTATTAGGCAGCAAAATCTGAAGCTTTATATATGTAACAGTGTAGCCTCAGAAAGAGCTCCTTGTTATAAAGTAAGTGATCCCTTGCAGTAAGAGTGAGTGACTTACTACAGCTGTATGGACTTTTACTGAAGGAAGGAGTGTTCTTGCTGTTAAGAAATGACACCTTTTTAGCAAGAGTGAAGTTTACATTTAGTTCAAAGTCACTACTAAGTTTCTTACACTTGCTTGAAAAATACGCTTGCCAATATAAACTAGTGCTACTTTGAATATTGAAATAGTTGCCATTTCTTTGTTCACTGTTTTTTCAGCAACAATTCATTTCACAATACAAAAAATAAAACAAATAAATAAAATATTTAAAATTGCTAAAGAAAAAAAGCCCTAGAAATGATAAATTTTGAACCATTAGTTAAGGACCAGTTTAATGTACTCCATTAGCTTTTTAATTTATTTTTCTTACTTGCTGATCTCCAGATCTCCTTACTTACCCACTTCATAGGTTGTACTGTCACATTCTCAAGTTGAGATCCAAACTGAACTGTTGCACTATGAGCACCTAGATTTATTATTTTGATTTGGGATTGGCTACCTGCAGGGAAGACTGGAATAGTTTTCTGTAAGGAAAGAAAATGCGAAATCAATTCCCTATCATAAGTCACATGGAAAAAGTACTAAAATTATGGTGATCTCAATTATCTCATGAGGAAGAACAGCATTTGCCTGAGGGATGCAACTTCAACAATGGGTTTTATTACTAGTCTCACAAGCTGCCTTACTGCAGGAAAGGAGTCTTTCACCCACAATGCCTCTATGGCCAGATGTGACTTCTCTTTGATCACGTCCTGCATCATGCTGCCACTACCAAGCCCACACTGCAGTTCACGGAATGGGCTTTTCCCACATCCTATGGCTACCTGGCCATAGTGTCTTTGTACCATGTTCTGACTTGTTCTCCCCTGCTGCTGAATTGGGCAGAAATGTATTGGCACTGACCAGTGTGATAGACTATTGAAAATGAACTATCACAATATTCTTTATTATTTTCCCTCCCTCTGCTTCTCTGCTCTGTTCCAATTTTCCCCCTAAACACGCTTTGTTCTGTACTACCATCTAAAAACAACAGTAAATACTTGCATGTGGCTGAACTTACATCTATCTGCACTTGCACAAGGGCAGCAGCAACAAAAGCCATAGACGCAAGGAACATGCCCACAGTCATCTTCCTCAGGGGCCTAGTAAAACAACAAAACACATCTGTGAGTTTCAAGACAAACATTAATTCAAAGTTTCAGCTGTTGGTTGGTTTCTTTCCATGGTGGGAAACTCAAATGGCCACAACTAAAATGTTATCTCCATTTGAAGGGCTGATGTTGTTAGAGAAGGTATCCTGCTAAGCTGAGTGCCTCAATTCATAGTTACACTATTGGGAAATAAATCTTTCCTGTAGCATCTTAATAATCTGTTACTCTGCATTGTGCTGGGCTCAGACATTGGCTGAACATGATGATTAGGTTTCTAGAAAAGTCTGATCTGCAGGAAGAAATAACACGCCAATGCAGTATGGTTTGAAACAGGGCATTAAAACAATGAAGGCAACACCTTGTGCCTATATTGCAATGTTTAAACCAAATTAATATCAAACAATAAAAAGTCTGGGAAATATGTTGAATTAGGAGACACCTATTGACATTCAGGTAAGCTGTAATGGTAAACTTAAGGCAGATATTTTGTTTATGGCATTGTTTCTCAGATGCAGAGTGTCCATCAGTGAATAACCATGTTTCCAGGACAGCACATTCCCTCTGTTTTTGATAACTAGATGGAAAAACAGAATTGCATCTTAGCCCTACAAAAACTGTTTTAAGAATGGTATTTTCTTCTGCCTCTCCATCTTGCAAGTGCTAGCTACTTCATTACCAACATTACAAATAATGTGAAATGCTCTCTGAAGCTACACCCAGAAGTCCTCAGTGAGCCAAAGTCCTCCCTGGGACCAAAGAGGAAACACATCTCCTCTCAGGCAGTTTTAAGCCCAAAACATGACACATACTAAGGATGTATGTTGTATTTCTACTTCTTATACTTCAGGAGGTAGAGGGAGTAGACAAGAGAGTAGTGGAAACCAGTAAACATAATCTCTCCTGCAATTAAAATATTTTTTCCTTAACTGGAAAATATTGTTACTTTATTATTTGATTGTTACTTTACTATTAGATCCTCTTCCTCTAGTCTGTGGTGACTCTACATACCTCTTGCAGTATTTTATGAGGTTTTTAATTTTAATTTCTTTAAAATATTAACCCCATTTTAAATACACTACTATTTTCTCCTTAGCTGAACACTTTCCCTTATTACATTAGGAATGGAAGAGCCTCATGAGCCCCTGTTAAAGTCAGATAAGTACATCAACTTACGTAAAATTGATCCTACATTTCCTGATTAAAGGATAAATCACAGCATCTACAACTGGGACCATTATAATGATCAGGATCGGATTCACAGTCTGTTAAAGATGAACATAAGGGGAAAAAAATTATTTCAAAGTTGTATTTTTAAGACAGACAATTTATATACATATACAACACACATGCATATACACACACACATACAAATAAATACTATCTCTAGGAAGCACTTAAAATTGGCAGAGAGAAGATTACTGTACCTGCATTTGGTCTGGCTGAATACGAATAGTTCCCTGGTGAAGAAACAACAAACAGATTTTCATATTATGACAACAAATAAAACTGATATGAAAGTAAGTGTTGATTAAGGGAAAAAAAGGCAATAAAAAGTAACCTACAAAATTCCCATCCATTGTTGTGGCTTGCAGTGTCCATCTTGACCCCTTAACAAAAGAAGAAAAAGTTAAATGCCACCATAAATAAATTTTCCAAAGTTCCTCTTGAATTGTTTTCATAAGTAAAGTGTTGGGAAAGACACAATAAAAAATAAAGCTAGCTTGCTACAGGAGTATTCTTACTCTGTAATGTAAACATTTGAACAGAGTGATCCTCATGGCCCATTTCACTTTATTTACTAGCTTTGTGAGATAGAGTGGAAAATACCTTAGATGCAGAGATTAGCCAGAGAGATGCCAAGTACAAGCTGTGCACAGAAACCACGGGGCACCTTTGTGCCACCTGCCTGAGCCCAGACACCACACACCATGGACATGCCTGTCCTTCCCTCCTGCAGCCCAGCAGTGAGCAGCCAGGCTGGGGCTGGGCCTGCCTGGAGCCCTCTACCCAGATAAGCTGCTGACTACCAGGTCAAGAGGATGGGTCAATAGTAGGACAAGGAGTAATGGTTTTAAGCTAGAGAAGGGGAGATTTAGGTTGGACATTTGGAAGTTCTTCAATATGAGGGTGCTGGATCCCTGGAATGGGTTGCTTAGGGAGCTGATGGAGGACCCATTCCTGGAGACATTCAAAATCAGGCTTGATGGGGCTCTGAGCAATCTGTTCTAGTGTGAGATGCCCCCGTTTATTGTAGGGAGGTTGGACTAGATGGTCTTTTAGAGGTGCCTTCCAGCCCAAGACGTTCTATGGTTCTATGAGGGGCTGACTTTCAGCCTGAGCCCAGGATGAGACATAAATGTGCATCCAAGGGGCAATGGGTGCAAAGTGGAGCATAGGAGTTCCACACAAGTGTGAGGAAAAACTTCTTCACTGTGAGAGCGACAGAGCACTGGAACATGCTGCCCAGAGAGGTTGTGGAGTCTCCTTCTCTGGGGACATTCAAAACCCACATGGACACGTTCCTGTGTGATGTGCTCTGGGTGATCCTGCTCTGGCAGGGGGGTTGGACTGGATGATCTTTTGAGGTTCCTTCCAACCCCCAAGATTCTGTGATTCTGTGAAAGCTGTCTTAGAGATGTGTTTTTACTCATGTAATGAGCATTTAGTTCTGAATTCCACAGCAGGGTTGCCTGTTTGCAACAGGTCATTCTGATAGTCAGAGCTCACTGGTATTAGACTAAAGCAGCATGATCTGGGCACTGTATACATGGTTTCCTACATTCTGCCTTGGATTAAGCTTTTCAGTTTTCAGTTCTCTCAGATACCCTCATAAATTTATACTTCACTATGAAAGCCTGCTTCCATGAGTCCTGAGCACTCAGTCCATCAAGTGAAGAGGAATTACACTTCTGCTTGAAGGCCTGAGGTATCTCTAACAGCTTTGAGTGACTGAGCAAACTGGCATCTCCAGGTCATTTCAGCCCTGATTCTCCAGAGCATTTACACTAGGACCCTAAACTTCATCTTATAGCTGACAGTGGAAGAAGGGTGAGAACTAAGACAGCCTTAAATTACTGTTTCATTTCTATGAGGGGCTGACTTTCAGCCTGAGCCCAGGATGAGACATAAATGTGCATCCAAGGGGCAATGGGTGCAAAGTGGAGCATAGGAGTTCCACACAAGTGTGAGGAAAAACTTCTTCACTGTGAGAGCGACAGAGCACTGGAACAGGCTGCCCAGAGAGGTTTTGGAGTCTCCTTCTCTGGGGACATTCAAAACCCACATGGACACGTTCCTGTGTGATGTGCTCTGGGTGATCCTGCTCTGGCAGGGGGGTTGGACTGGATGATCTTTTGAGGTTCCTTCCAACCCCCAAGATTCTGTGATTCTGTGAAAGCTGTCTTAGAGATGTGTTTTTACTCATGTAATGAGCATTTAGTTCTGAATTCCACAGCAGGGTTGCCTGTTTGCAACAGGTCATTCTGATAGTCAGAGCTCACTGGTATTAGACTAAAGCAGCATGATCTGGGCACTATATACATGGTTTCCTACATTCTGCCTTGGATTAAGCTTTTCAGTTTTCAGTTCTCTCAGATACCCTCATAAATTTATACTTCACTATGAAAGCCTGCTTCCATGAGTCCTGAGCACTCAGTCCATCAAGTGAAGAGGAATTACACTTCTGCTTGAAGGCCTGAGGTATCTCTAACAGCTTTGAGTGACTGAGCAAACTGGCATCTCCAGGTCATTTCAGCCCTGATTCTCCAGAGCATTTACACTAGGACCCTAAACTTCATCTTATAGCTGACAGTGGAAGAAGGGTGAGAACTAAGACAGCCTTAAATTACTGTTTCATCCTCTGGGTCCTGGCTGATATAAGATCTGGACAGGCCTGAGTTACTGATACAGTCCTGAGCACATCCAGATAAGCTGACTTGCCCCTGGGTGCAGAACATCCCATACTAACATGACTCAGTAACTACCCCTCTGCATTAGAACCAGGTTAAAACATTTGCAAAGAATTATCTTCCACCCTCCCATAGGCACCTCTGGTGACCTCAGACTATGTAGAGTGACATGTTACAGCTCTAGTTACCAAGCCAAACAATTTCTACTTTACCTGCTGGTCAAAGAGTGCCCAGAACATGGGAAGGGGGATGTAAAGGAAAAGTACTTTCAACACCATCTTAGTCTGAGTAATCAGTCGTTTCTGCAGCAAATGAGAATTACACAGGAGGAATTGGTCAAAAAAAAGAAGAAAGAAATAAAAAAAATAAAAAAGAGACAGTCGCAGACATTCACGACACAGTAATGGGTAAAGAGACAACACGTAATATTTACCCATGTTCTAAAGTTTGGAGGTTGCAGGTACTTCTGCAGATTTCTGTTAAAAAGCAGGTCTGCCAGTGAGTGTGGGAAGGGCTGCTGGTTAAAGGTGACACTGATACAGGACAGACCTGTGCCCCTTGGCACGTGTACTGTGCTCCCTGCTTTGTTTTTCTAGGAAGGGGGCATTTGAACGACCTGTGACTGGGGAGTGCATTTCACACAGGGAAAATGCATATAGGCACAAGGAAAACAAAAGGGATACACTAAGGCTTGTGCTGCCATTGACATCAGAGCGCAGAGGCATAGGATGTGGTTGGGGACTGGGAGACACAATGCTTTGAGAGTCATGGTAAGGAGCTTGTACTGAGGCCAGGAGGATGCAGTGTTCATCCCCTTAAGCTGAGATTCCTAAGCATAATTCTCCAGTTTGATTCCATGACAAGTGTTATGGCCCTGTGTATTACCCATGACAGCCAACCCCATGCCCATTTTCCCCTCCTACAGTCATTGCACCAGGATACTTGTGCTTGAAGCCAGTTTACCAAGAGAAACAAAAAGGTGACAAGAAAAATGCTTGCTGATTAACTAACTCAAAAACCAAAAGGTGCTCATATTTGTTTGATAAGGAAAATGGTCTCTTCTTCATCTCCCTTGAATTTCCCTGGGAAGCATACGATCCCACAAAGCATCAAGGGACACAGCTCTGCTTTCTCCCACAGGAGCTGGGGAGAATCCCAGGGGAGCACTGAGGCTTGGCCAGAGCATTATCTTCTAAATGATTGAGAGGCCCAAATCCATCTGTCCAGCACATGAGGCAATGGAACAGAGCAGACAGAAGGGAGGCTGAGGGTCAGAGGATCTGATGGCACAGGAGTGCCCAGGCAGCACTTACATCATACTTCTCACTCGCCCAGTCTAACCAGTGTTCTCTCTTAGGGAACACCTTGCTGCGATGCCGAAACCGGTTTTTGATGGCAAACTGAGGAGAGAAACAGTTTTGTTTAATGGCAATTATAAATACTTGCACAGTATTTGTAAATGCTACAGGCTGTTTTGTCATTAAAAATCACACTCCTGCTTCCTAGTGCTAAAGGTGACTTACTTCTGTTAACTGCTCAGGGCATCTAAGGGAATATGGCATTTAAGGCCTCACACTGCATATCCAGCAGAGCATGCACCTGGGATTAGACAAACCAAACAGCTCAGAGAGGTCTCTCTCAGTGTGGGTTCCTGGTAGGATCTTGAAGACCTGCCTACTTCAGACCAACTTACATACAACAATAAGCAGAAGAATGTTTTCAGAGCTGAATGGCTGTCAGTGTATTTCACTATGAGAAGCTGCATCCTTGTCCTGGTTTAAATATTAAAGGTGAATCCCAAACACCAGAGAACAGAATTGTTCTCTATTACCGACACCCCCCACCCCCCCCCACCCTCCCAAGGGAAGAGAGACTTACACTTTGGAAATTGAAACTAGAAACAAATTTACTGTAACACAGGATAAAGGGGTAAAACATGGGGGAAGAACAGGTAAGTATCTATACACAAAATCAATCTCAAGGATGGCAGGGATATGGGAAAAGCAGGGCTGCTCCAGGGAGAGGTCCACGGCTCCTCCCAGCACCCGATGCAGTTGGATTCTGGAGCGAGCACGTGGGAAGCCAAAGGAACCAGCAGCAGCCCCAGCAGGGAGAAAGGAGCAGGTAGGGAGAAGGGCCTGGTTTCCAGCTCTCCTGGCTTTTATAGATTGTGACAGGAAGCGGGCGGGAATACTGACCCTTCCAGTCTGTCAGGGTCCTAAGGACCCTATATATGTGCCAGGGTCTCCCAAACCATAACAATCCTGTAGATATTCCTCATACTGAATATGCACAAGTCCTGAAGAACTCTTGAGACTTTCTGCATGGAAAGCACGCAGAGCTGACTATGCACAAGTCCTGAAGAACTCTTGAGACTTCCTGCTCAGCAGAGCTGAGCTGGGCCTTGGTGGCAGTGCCCGAAGCAATGGCCAAAGTCACCTACAGAGATTTGGGCTTGGCAGCTCTTACCATACAAGCAACGGTCTGAGCTACAACAAGCTAGCAGATCTGCATGGAGAATGAAAAAGGCCTTAAATGAAAAAAAAAAATCCCCTGATCTCAAAATTGAGGCACTGCAAAGTTGAGACATGCAGTGCTATTGATGCAGATTTAGCTGCCTTGCTTGCAGGCTTGTGCTAAAACCATAACACTCCCAGACCTCCCTGACACACTGGGGAATCAATATACCTCTGCATTGTAAATAACATTCTTTCAATAAGCAATAATTTTTTGCTGATAAGATGTACTAGTAGCTCTGCTCTTGACTCAGGTCAAGGCACCTGTGTTTCTCTTACTACAGGGCTGCAATAAAGCGTACAAACGAGGAAGGAATGATTCCCAGAAGTCATGATGAATTTTTACACATCACTGATATCTTACTTTGTTTCCTCTGTGTATAAAGTCACATACAAACCAAGATATAGATAAATAAAAAGGCAGTCTAAATTTGGAGGTGTCAGTAAGAAGCCTTCCTTAAGGAAAAAAAGTAAAACACTTCAGAAGCTTTCCTTGCATTATGACAGATTTCTGGCCTAGGCAACTTGACTGAACAGTCTTAAAAACTGCTGCCAGGGTTTTTGGCAATATAAATAGTACTTACTCCAATACATTTGGAAACTTGAATCATTACATTGCCTTGAGGTTCAACTTTCTTGTACATTCCACTTCCAACTACGAACACAACTACAATAGGAAATAGAAAAAAATAATATATATATATATAAACAACTGAGGAGTAACTGAAAATAGTGGCAAGTAATTTGATATGAAGCTGTGACAGTCAAGCAGTGACATGGGGATGGCAATAAGCATCCTAAGGAGCAATGCAATTACCTGTTGGCACGTTATACAGTAAAAAACATTAATACCAGCAGATTGCTTTTATTTAAGAGAAAGGACTAAATTTTGAAACTCCTTGGTTAAGTCCTCAGTGGGGTGTTAGCTTAATTGGGGGATGGTCAAAACAAGGCCCACTCAGGCTCTTGGCCCTGGCTTGGCTGTGCCAGATCAAGCCAGCTTTAAGAGCTCCTCCTCAGGAGCCCAGGGTGCTGTAGCTCAGGTCACGCGAGGCCACGTGAGGCTCTGGCTGAGCCTCAGGACTCGCCAAAGTGCCCTAAGCTCCCACGCCCAGGCAGGCTCCCTTGCCTCAGCCTCCCACGAGTAGGGCAGGACGTGGGCAGAGCCCTGCAGGCACCATCCAGCCCAGCTGGGGTGCAGAGGCGAGATGGGTCACCCACCAACCCCAGCTGGAGGCCCAGCCTTGGTGGGCTCCCAGTCAGGTCCATGAAAGACCAGGACCACGAGGGATGACACTGTGGTACGTACGGAACCACCCCCCCAGTTTCTTGGCCTTCGTGCTGCAGCAGAAAGCCTTGGGGAGCTGGTGAAAATGCAGGTGCTTGAGAAATACTGACACACCAGTCTGGCATTTCTCCAGTGCACAGACAGTTGCCTCCTACAGTCTGCGATCTGAACCACAGAGAGTTTCCAAAAACTGGATTTTCTCAGAGTTCTCACCTGAGAACTACATTCGAAAGACCTTATTTATACACCCCAGTAGTCCAAGAAATACTGGCAGTAAAGTGTATAGTGTACAGAACTCTAGGGTGTATTTGTGCCTCTCTCTAGTCTCAGTTTCTTTTGTAAAAGTGAATGCTCCAGGTTAATTCCAAACACCACTCCTCCCCCCAAAAAAGAAGAGTTTAAGTAAAAAATGGCATAAAAAGATCAGATACTGGTAGAGGTTGATATCTGGAAATTTCTGTCACTTACTCATTATTCTGAGATCATTATAACCACGTGTATAACTGAAGCAGCAAGATGGAAATAGTTCCACTTACCCAGGGCAACTCCCATGAGGGCAGCAGGAACTCCGAAAGCCAGTGGGTAGCATTGCTGTTTGCTATGGATGCCACACTCCTGAGCTGAAGTACAAAGTAACATGAGAAAAAAAAGTTCCGGTCAGCCCTACCAGTGTTTTACACAGGGTTTCTCTTTGCACTCACTGTTAACTCGGGAAATAAAAAAATCTCTGCTGATGTTATTGACAGAACAGATGATCATTATCCAGCTTATATTTCATTACTGAAAAAAGAAATTATATAACCCAGAATAGTTTAGGTTGGAAGGGACCTCTGGACATGATCTAGTCCAACCCCTCCCTGCTCAAGCAGGGCCACTTGGAACTGCTTGTCCAGGACCATGTCCAGGTGGCTTTTGAGTATCTCCACGGATGGACAGCCTCCCTTGCCAACCTGTGCCAGGGCTCAGTCACCCTCACAGTGAAAGTGTATTTCCTGATGCTCAGAGCGAAACTCCTGTGTTCCAGTTTGTGCCCATTGCCTCTGGTCCTGTCACTGGGCACCACTGAGAAGACCCTGACTGTCTTCTTTGCATTCTCCCTTCAGGTATTTACATACACTGATGAGATACCCCTGAGCCTTCTCTTCTCCAGGTTGAGCAGTCCCAGTTCTCTCAGCCTCCCCTCATAGGAGATTTACATTTAATTTTACACTGAGAAGTGAAGAATCCTACTAGAATGATCAAATGCATGTTCTTAGTGAGAAAGGAACCAGATTACAAAAGTTTTAGGAGAAGTTGAAAAAATTCTCAAACCTATGCCCTCCCCCACAGCAGTAGTCAGAGGTTTGGCTCCATAATCTTCACACATACATCCTGAAACTATGCTCAGAGTGTGGACATAGCTACTAGCAGGGAAAAGTAAAAGACTAAACAAAATTATTACCTTTTTCACCATACTTTTTCTAACAGTAAAATTAGAGAGTCTGATTTGGAAAAATAATAAAATAAAATTTAAAATAGCCTTCAGCTTATTAATACCTTGATTTAATCTATTAGCCTTTTGGTTAAACCTTTACAGGACATGATGATTCCACTTTCCCCAGCTGAATTTGTGGTTTTTTTCAGGGTAGTTTTAATTCTGTAACAGCAAGGAAGTAAACCCTGTGTTGTGCCTCATGCATACCTCCTTCAATTTTAGGAAAAGATAGAGCAAAGTGCTCAAATGCTTCTATAGAGACTGTTTCAGTCAAGAAATCCAAAGGCTGGAATTTCAGCCCAGTGCTATAGGGTTATTGCAGAACTCATGAGCTGTTCTCTTTCTTTTGAGAAAAACAGCCTTCCTCAAACTCCTGCCAAGAACATCCATACAGCACCATCTGTGCAAGGTTGTCACAAAAATCCATATGCATATGAATCAGTGAATTGTTTGCTTTTTGTTTGGGATCATGCTATTCATTTCAAGCACAAGAGAAAATAACTTTCTCCTTTAACCATATGAAAAACATGTTTATCACATGGACACATGTATTCCCATGTGCATAGATGCCTCTGTATTTTGCACAGGCACACTTCAGGGTAGTTTCCACTTCCAGAACAGAGGGCTCTCCTCCCCTTCACAAGCAGTACAACTCTTTCTTGTGTGATGGTTTTAAAGGCACTGGAAGAGGTGCCACATTTAGTCCTGCGTGGAATTGAAGCCTGCGTTAGGCATACAAGTTGATGGCTTCAGCACATCTCTTCAGATCCAGTACTTCTGATCCTAAAGGCAATTCAGATCTCAAACTAGCTTGTTTTTGACCGTACTTCACCTGCAAGAAGTTGGATGACATCCATGAAAACTTGACAACTATTTGCCACAGAACTCCACAAGATGTCAAAGGGCAGACCATTGATTTAAATCTACCTGGACTGTAATCAAACATTCATCCTTTACTGATGTTTAACTATTTTATAAACAAATGCGTGGCCTTACCTCTGAAAATCGGGGTGATTATAGTAGACAGGAGACTTCCAGCATTAATAGACAAATAAAATATAGAGAAGAATCTCCTTCTTTGTTTTTCCTACAGTAAAAACAAAAAGATGTTAAGAAATGCTTAGGCATAACCACGTTTATCAGCCTAGTTTGAACAACCAGCAGCTCAGTTTGCACAGTTCAAGATGAAATAGTTATCTAGTTCCTTTTCCAGCTTCTTAGGAAACACTACAGTAATGCACATGTCTAAATATAGATATCCTTAGAGAATTAAAATAGTCAAACAACAGTAAGAGTATCTGTATGACTGAACATCAGAAGGATATTATTACCTGATCTTCTTCAAATTGATCTCCACCAAACGCTGACACACAAGGTTTGATCCCACCCGTACCAAGGGCAATGAGGATCAAGCCAGTCATGGACAGAGCGCTGGAACAAAGCAGGAAAGAGAAAAAGGGAGGAAAAAGGTATCACTTTCTTACTTAAAGTGTACACAAGAGACAGATTGCCAACACAGTTGAAATTGAAGTAGCATAAGTTTAAGGTATAACTTGTCCTACCCTTCGTCAACCTGAAAAGGGCCCATGCAGAAGGGAACTCACATATGCAGCGTTAGATTATCAGGAGAGCCATCCCGGTTGTAATCTGTCAGGTCGTTTATGGAGCTCACAGCTGTGACCGCCTGCCCAATCGCATAGACAATGGACAGGCAGACAATGGTTCTGGCAAAGAGAGATCCATTTTTACACATATTAACACAATTACATGTGTATATATACACACACAGATAAGGTAGACTTTTACTCATTTCAAAGACACTTAGTGAGGAAGCGTAATTAACAGATATGCCAGATTATGGATTTATCACAAGCTGCTGTAAAATTCCATCCACGTACCTCTGTCACAGCATTTCTATTCTGTTTATTGTAATATTTATTATTATTATTATTATTATTATTATTATTATTTATTTATTTATTTATTTCAGCTAGCCTTGTTTAATTAAGCAAGACAAGATGACAATCAGATTCTGCGGGTATCAGAGGAGAAGAGATTCAAGGTCTACAAAGCTTCATTTGTTAAAGTAGGTAAAACCCAAAATAAATTTTTAAAAAATGAAAAATCAAAATCATACCATCTGAACAGAAGTGCAAATATATTCAGGCTGCACTCTGCAAGATATCAAGCTACTTGCAATGAGTTTACACTGATGGGCTCCAAAGAGCACGCCTGGTCATGGTCACAGCCCTGCTCAACACAGCAGAAGATGGTGCAGACTGCAGCTGACTGACTGCACAGCCAGGTTCATCTCTAATCTCTGGGAGACCTTTGACAAGTCAGCTAACATTCCTGACTCATATCCCTCCATAAAATCTTTATTGTGCTTTTTTTCTGACAATGTAAACACTATTAGAATCACAACCTCAGGAAAGGAGAGCAAAATCAGGCTGTTGGAAATAATTCAGTAGCACTTCAAAGCACTTGACTCAGTGGTGCTTTTCTGAGCAACTGGCACGCAGGTAAAAACCCAGAATTCATCAATTAAAGAAAGAGTTGCAACTCAGAAAAGCCTCCCACTGAGCTGTCAAGTTGATACTGAAATTAATCATAGAATGGTTTGGGTTGGGAGGGTTCTTGAAAGATCATCTAGCTCCAACCCCCCTGCATGGCCAGGGACACCTCCCACTAGATCAGGTTGCCAAAAGCCCCATCCAACCTGGCCTTGAACACTTCCAGGGAAGAGGCAGCCACAGCTAGAAGTCCCAGTTAATACCAGATAACACAGTATTTCACCATTTCATTGGCCACCTGCAGTAGTTAGATTCAAACCAATGCACTTATAACCTTCAGTATCTATCTTCATAATCTAGTGAATGCTTTTCCTTAGTTCAGCTTACACTTTGGCCAGATGAGAGAAAAACACATTCATTGTGCCTGGAAAGCAAGTTACTACCTTTAGCTGATTAGCAGAACCATAACAAATGTTAACTCATAGTGCAGTTTCAAGAGCTAAATCAACTAAAAACTCAAGCTTTGGGGAAAAAAACCCGCACAAACAATTCTAGCATAGCCAGCTGTTCCAGACAGTTGCTTTAGGAGATGGTCTCAGTACCACTGAGCTCAGCCAAGCTTTCATAGTTTTTGGCTTTCTGAGGAAACACTCACTTAAACTTTCCCAGCCAAGAGTCTGCAATGAGCGCTCCGAGGATCGGTGTCAAGTAGCACAGAGCAAGGAATGTGTGGTAGATGGCTGTAGAGAAGTTGTTATCCCATTTCAGGAAATATTTGAAGTACAAAACAAGCACCGCTGTAGGAAGAACAGAACAATGGATTACAAACCAAAGTCAGGTTTGGGTAAATAATGGTAGGCACAAGGACACGCAGGACACAGGTCATACCTTTCATGCCATAGTAGGAGAACCGCTCACAGAACTCATTAATGATGATGAAGAAGATGCTCAAGGGGTATCCAAAGCAGTTCGGCTGAAGGAGAGAGACAGAGAGCATGAGCTCAAAGCTCTGCAACACAGACCAACATTGCTCACTGCAGCCTACAGCTTGAGCAAGCTCAATACAGACTCAGGGGAGTGGGTAGGTGCTCGGGGGTTAGGAGGCTGCATAAGCATCTGTGGAACAACACTGGGTTGCCTGAACCAAGAGTCCTCAGAGCTCTGCAGACTTCTCATCTGCCCTTTGTGAGAGATCTTTAGCAATGCTATATTTGACCTTCAAGTGTTGTGCTGTGCACATCTGAAGTCTTCAGCATCTAACCCTCAGAGCAATCTTGATTGGTATTAAAAAAAAAAATAAATGCAAACCCCAATATTTTCAAAAAACCCCAACCCAACAAAAAAAACCCTGCCCTGCCAAACGCCCACAGCACAACAAAATTAGAATCCTAAGGATATTGCTAAATACCTCCAGCTGAGACCGATAAATGTTTGAACATGTTATTCATTTATGAATACTGCAAAAGAAAGTAAAATAAGGGGGAGCAGCGAGAGTATTGCTGACAGCCTGACTTGGGCATGAGAATGTGCAAGCAGCCTGAACAGCATTGATTTTTGTTATCACCTGAACCAGTGCACATGTTATTCATGGTCTGATAGGAATCTTCACTGAAGGAATCTTACTTGAGCCAAGGTGAATGCCACGGGGGACTAATTTATCTTTAGAGCAATTAGAGATCTAAGTAGAAGCTTCTCATTCCTGACATCATGTCCTTCATGCACAGGAAGAGGTGTCTCCAAAGGAAGGCCATCCACGTGTATCTCAAAATTAGATAAAAACCCACTTGAAGGCATCCAATTCCTCCAGCTGAAGATGTAGGAGCTCTAGATTACTAGTCCCAGCTTGGACACAGCTTGGGTGGTCTGGAGTTTCTACAGGAGATCGCCACGCAGCTCTGTCTGTGAATCACCAGTAAGCCACACATGGTTTCTGAGGAGGTGGGTGGGGAACCATGAAGGTTTGGCTCAGCACCCATTAAACACATCCCAAAGGTTTTGATTTCAGCAGTTGTTTGGTCAGGACCTAAAACAGTGATCCACACACTGCATCTGGTTTCTGCTAAGGTTTCAGCAGGGGAGGAGAGCGTGTCCCCACCTGAAGTAGGAGACAGCCTTCCCCACGTTTGGCCTGCCTGCAGAAAAAAGGGACAGGGCAGTCCTGGCCCAGGGGCTGGTGGGATCCAGAAAAATCTAAATAAAACATTTTTGTCCTTCCTGGGGCTCTCAAACCTCCATCCCTCCCTGCTGCTACACCATCACACCGCCCAGCAGCTCATGGTGCTGGTGGTGCTATAGGCTAAACTGGGGAGGTAACACTTTTCAGCAAGGTCAGGAGTTTGTTTGAAGTCAGCAGTGCTTATGCACCTTGCAGAGATGTCCTGCATTCACATGCCAGCACCACAGCCACAGGGCTTTTCCTGGCTGTTCCTGAACTGGTGGAGATTTGAATGCCACAGCCAGGGTCAAACAGGGGCCCAAAGAAACAGACCTTATCCTTTTTTTTCCTAGATGAAACCAGCAAGAGCAGTATATGCAGCTGTACCTTGCTAAACATAAACAGTTCTTATTTTGCACTGTATGTCCTCTTAAACCTCTGGTGCATTATACATGTGCACACACACATTTACTGAAGCCTTTTCTGCTGTGATCCCTATTGGTCAGAAAGCACTGGATCCACCACTGAGGAGGCAACCTGCAGAATATGTTTTAATGCTTCTGGCAACCTTCCCCTGCCCTGGGGGTGCCAGGCACGTGTCCAACATCACTGTGCTGCACAATTTTGACTTTGGCTCCTGAGGAAGCCACTAAGCTGTGAGAAACCTGCAGGAAAAGTCTGTGGAGCAAAACTTGGCAAGATAAGAAAAGCGAAGGCAGAGATAGGGTTGCTGAGACAGGTGTCATAAATAGTTCAAAGATTCAAGAGGAAGAACTAACACTGAAAGTCAAAAGAGTCCTAAGGGAGAGTGGGTGGATGATGACAACTCAGCCACAGGAAAGATGGGCTCCAGGGACTTTTCTCCTCCCACCCTAGGTCTACTCTCTCAGCAAAGGCTCTTCAGATGTTTTATCTGGGAGCTGAGCACACTTAATGCTCAGCTGGGTTTTAATAAGCTACCAGGTGTAGCTTTACATGTGTTGGCTAATAACTCATTATATTATACTTGTAAAGTATTTTTAATAGGATGATTATTTTTTGTGCACTCACAAACTATCCAAACAACATTACTCAAAGAGAGTCAGGATAGCAACTTATTATAGGAGAAAACAATACTTACCGACTTTCCTTTTGCAGCTGTGGAGGGAAAAATACAGACAAGTTAAATAACATTCCTTTTAAACCACTGAAAGACAGTGGAAAAGTTCAGCTGGAAACAAATCTTCAAGCACAAGCACAGTATTGTTCAAGATTAGCAAATTTTCAGTTTGTCAAAGGTGACATTTCATGGTACAAGGAGATTATTAGAAAAAAATTTGCTGGATTGCCTTTTGTTTTTATTAGAAAAAATGTTGCTGGATTACCTCTTGTTTTCCAGGCACATGTACTCTCCCAGGGAAATATCAAAAAGGACTGGTGAGACAAAGCATCTTATCTGTGGGTTGACGACACCATCCTGCTATGACTGCTCACCACACACCATTCAAAGTGGTGAGAGACCACCCTATCACCCACACAGAAGATGAATCCTGTTCCAATTTACTCTCAGGGATGTTACCTTAAAGGCAAGTCAAGAGTAAAGAGTAGCCTGAAGATACCCTTCCAGGGGTAGATGTCAAGTCCTGAAAAGGGACAAATTTCCCACAGCTCAGACTTAAGGAGGCCTGAATACATGGCCTAGTGGAGTGATCCACATTAGCAGTCGTTCCCATAACCTGGGAAGCTCTGGAAGCACAGCAGGGGTCCCACTGAGGTCAGCAAGAGAAGGCAGCTGCTGGCAGCCCTGGAGCTGCTTCCAGCTGCTCAGGACAGGTTCACTGTTCGTGGCAGCCTTCCAAGCATTGTCCTCCAGGGCTTGCTGGGCTCAGGGGACAGGCTTGAAGGCTGAGCTTACACTGCTGCAGGTAAAGGCCCTGTGCCCACAGAGTGGATTGTCAGCATTTCCTATAAAACCATGAGTGATTTCATTATCATTAAGATAAGACCAAGTACAAGATGTGAACTTTGACATCCCTGCTTGCAAATGATGTGTGCCCGTAATAGATCACTACAAGAAAAATATGTTTGCTGAGATCGTCATTTAGTCCATAGTTCACAGCAAATGAAAATAGCTGACAGCAACACTGTGGTGTTCAACGTGATACTGAATACTCACTTACAGAAATTACTAAAACAAATTGATCTGATTGTTTCCTTCACTGCCTTGGATGACACTCTTTATGATAGAGACAGAGGAAGTAAAATGCAGCTAATTCAAGAACGTAACATCATAGAATGGTTTGGTTTGAAAGGGACCTCTCCAGGGCTTGCTGGGCTCAGGGGACAGGCTTGAAGGCTGAGCTTACACTGCTGCAGGTAAAGGCCCTGTGCCCACAGAGTGGATTGTCAGCATTTCCTATAAAACCATGAGTGATTTCATTATCATTAAGATAAGACCAAGTACAAGATGTGAACTTTGACATCCCTGCTTGCAAATGATGTGTGCCCGTAATAGATCACTACAAGAAAAATATGTTTGCTGAGATCGTCATTTAGTCCATAGTTCACAGCAAATGAAAATAGCTGACAGCAACACTGTGGTGTTCAACGTGATACTGAATACTCACTTACAGAAATTACTAAAACAAATTGATCTGATTGTTTCCTTCACTGCCTTGGATGACACTCTTTATGATAGAGACAGAGGAAGTAAAATGCAGCTAATTCAAGAACGTAACATCATAGAATGGTTTGGTTTGAAAGGGACCTTAAAGATCATCTAGTTCCAACCCTCCTACTAAGGGGTTTCCATTTTCCAGGAAAACAAGTAAGATCCATAAAATGCTAACATGCCAATTTCAGGGCACAGGCAGATACCTGAGGCATTAAAATTATTGGTAATGTTCCTTACATGACTCCCGTGAGCAGATGTACTGAAGGATACCAAGGGGTTAGTCACAGACTATCTTCAAAACAACTTCTTAATTATTTTCACTTGCCGGGCTTTCCAGCACTCAAGCATTAAAATGCCATATACAGGAAACATCAGATTAAGCAGCTCATTTCTGCTTGTCAGTTAAGCCTTGAGATAAAAATATCAAGGAACTTGTATAGTTGATTAGGTTTTTTTTTTCTCCTTTCCAGAAGGTAAATGTATCACCTCTGCAAGAAACCCTGTGCAGGGGATATCACAAAGGCATTTTTTTGAGAGACAACGTAGACCAATATTTAAGAGGCAAACTTACTTCTCAACCATTTTGACTTTATCCCTCTATTCTCCTTTTACAGAGAGAGTCAGAAAACTCCTGATGGATTAAACCCAGCATTTCAACAAAGGCACCTAAAGTGTCTGAGGAACTCCACTGTCAGCTTCATGTTTAGAGCTACGAAAGCACTGAGCACCCAGCACTTTTCATTAATTTCAGTGATAAATCTGGGGTTTGCTGGTGACACCTTGAAACAGTGTCTCCTTTGAGCAATTCTCAGTACCTCTCATTGTCTCCCCACAGAGAACAACCTGCAGAACTGCTCATTTTCACCACAAGATACGTAAAAGCTTCACATTTTTCAGAGCAAAACTCTGGGCAGGTCTGTATTTGCATTCCCTTAAGATATTAAAATATTTTTAAATGGTGTAAAGACAGAAGGCACTTAGTTCTTGGCTTGGGCACTGAATCTAAATATTTATTTATGGGTGGGTCACACTCTCCTTCCTGCACTTGGAGGCAAAGTGGGGGCAGGCTCATGGCTCTGACCCCTTCCCCATCACCTCCCACCAGCATGGCTCCCTGCAGCTGCAGAGGTGCTGTAGCTCTTGCTGCTCATGGTGCTTGGCAGGAGAGTGGAGCACCTGCCTCGCTCCT